AGATGAAAAAATATCAGGAAAAGAAAAAGTGGAGTGGGAAGGTGAAATCATTTATATCTTTCTCCTGTCCCGGTACAGACCATCAACAGCTCAGAAGAGTGGACAAGAGGGTGGCCAGGTGAGATTGGGATGTCTACAGGGCTTTGTCTATACCTGGTGCTTGTAAATATCTGCCTAATTGATGCAAGAATGAAGGAGCTATCCCTAGAAAGAGGCCACTTAGATGACAAATCCAAGAGTTACTGGCTGCTGATGTAAAGCCCTGTTCCTGATTTATCATCACATTTGTCCGCAAGATTGGGGTCACAGAGACACCGGTGTGGATGAGAGCCCAAGTGATCCTCCCTCCCACCCCTGAGTGAAACTCTGCAACCTGAATCCCCTTATCTCTCCCCCTGGTATACCAGATTGCCAATTCGGCAGAAGCAAATCAAGGAAAATGCCATGCCCCCAAAGCATCTACTCAGTATCACAGAGTCCAGATGAGTCAGACTGTTTGAAGTACATCAGACCGCTGTCCAGGTGACACCCTCATCATGACTTCTCTGTCATCTTATGTTCTATACCCAGATGCCTTCCATAGATTTCTAGCCCCAAGGCTCATAAGATGCACACAAATTTACCCAAGACCTCTGGCACAAACTTCTCCTCCTGTAACCCATCTCATCATCCATCCACTACACACTAAGCAATAAAGCTGGACCACATCCCTCACCATCTTCCTTACCCTCCAGATACAACAGTCTCCACATTCCCCTGGAGTCTAAGTTAAAATTATCTTTCAATTTGATTCTCCCATCTGACCTGTATTACCACTCTGGGTACCTCCAACAGATCTAACTTCCTGCCGGCATGACTTTACAGGGCTCCGACAGTGCTGCACCATCACCTCCCACCTGGCCCTTCCTACCTTGTCTTTCTTGATGTCATCTGTCATTTTGACAAGCAGGTGTAATTCTGTAATGTTTAAATCACCCAAGGGTTCTATAGCGCCTTCAGGTGAAGGTTCAAATGCCTCAGTGTGACATGAAGTGCTCCTTGTAATCTAGCCCCTGCTCATCTCTCCCATCCTCTAAAACCTGAGGTGTAAGAATGCCCTGAAAACACTGTGTTGCAAGATCCCTCTTGTTTCCTTTCTATTGACGGTTCCCTCTTTCTTCAATGCCCTTCCATCAGCTTCTCACCATTACTGCTTCCCTGGCACCTTCAAGGCTCAGGCCAGAGGTCTTCTGGAAAGTCATCCTGAGCCTTCTGGAACAGCCTGGATCTCAGCACTGTGTGTGCAAGGCCATCATATCTCAACCATGGCTTTCAGTTTTAAATCCCCGGCATATAGTCTACTGCCTGGCACAAAACACATGTTCAATATTCAGCATGTATCTTCAACTCAGTGAGGAGCATAGAGGAGGGATGGGAAACCTAGAATATTGCTGGAGGTCCTGAATGTGGAGCTGAGACTCTATTCTGATTTGAAATTCTTTTTGTTATTCCAATGTCCCTCTCACTGCAGTGGGAAAATAAGTGTATCAGGGAGCTGATTAGATATTCAGATTCATGGGCCTCCCCTGAATCTATAGTGAATCTGATTTTAGACAAGCTACCTCCTTAATTCTTCTGAACAGAAAGTTTGAGAACCATGCCCAGTGTTTTGCAGCCTGTCTGAAAGGGCTTTACAAGTTGACCACATCTTTTTAGGCAGGACCAAGTTGTTATCTGTTGGTGACAAACAGGAGAACTGAACCTGTCTTCATTAGAGTTTCACTGAAAAGCAAGAATTTGAGTTCTAAAGCTTTTCCCTTCAAAAGCCCACCATCAGCATGCAGATTATGCACTTGTAGAATTGATAGAAAGATGGAAGTAGAGATTTCTGGAGGAAGCAAGACAACCATAAGTGGCTGGGAGTGGTCTCAAGAAAAGATGCCCTTCACTGATTTTATTCTTAAATTTTAGTGCACATCAGAATCACTGGAGGCTTGCTAAGATACAGGTACCTGCTTCAGTAGGTCTGCCCGTGGAGTCCCAGAAGCTACAACAACCTTTCTAACAAGCAGTTAAGTGCTGCTAGTCCAGGCAGCTCACTTCTAGAACCACTGAGCTAGTCAACCATTTTGCTCAATACAGTAACCTATCTTGTAATATCCATGGTGATGGATTCTCCCTATCTTTTTGCTTCTATTCCTCCACAGTTTGAATCTTGTTATATTTCAAAATGGAGTTTCATAGATAGCTTATAATTCCTTCTTGAGCTGACCCAAAGTTTGCTTATAGTAACTTCTTACTCCTTGACTCCAGATTGGTCTCCTACCTTCTCATAGAACATACCTGTAACTCTTCATGTATGGGGATTTAAAAAAATTTTTAAGATTACTATCCTGACCTGCCTGCCTCTTCTTCCCCACAGCAGTATTTTCTGCATCTTCAGCCAGTGCTCAGATTGGAGACTTCCATCAACTGTCCATATCCCTGAGACAATCCCCAATTTTAAAATTCTTTTTTACACTACAGTGCCCAGAACTAGCAGAACCACCTTTGGGATCTGACCTGCTCAGAGCACAACCTCTGGAACTGGTCACTATTTTAATGTAGACTGTGTGCAGTGTGTGTGTGTGTGTTTAAACAAACTATTTTACTCATTTAGCTTTGGGCATGGGGTCTCCTAAAACTAGAATTTTTTTACATTAGCTTGTGTTCAATTGGGACTTCTCCATTCACTCTTAGTAAGGTGACTTTGTAACTTAAGAGCCACATTAAAGAGTAAATTAAAGAGCTACATTAAGAGCAAATTTAGCATTTACTCTTCTTATATGTAATTTGTTGGTTTTGCTCATTTTTTACGAAGTATTAACTCATATCTAAATTATGACATGATGGTAGCAGGGCTAAGAGAGTGATACCTAGTCTAAATTTACCCCTTTCGCAACTTAACTGGGGTACTAATAAGTGATGCTGTGTTCTGCAGTCTCTAGTGCATAGCCATCTTTTGCCTCAATATTTCTGGGTCACTCCTGACCTCAACTGCTCTTTCTACTGCCACAACAGGGCCAAATGCAAACTAGGAGTCTAATTTTGGGTGCAGAAAGCAGACTCTTTGCTCTAGGTGTTTACAGTGTACTAGGAAGAGACAACTGTTTTTGCCTGGTTTCGGGGGTTAATAAAGGGAATCAGACAGAAAGGGGTTGAAAGGTCATGGTCAGACATTCAACGTCATTCAACGTCAAGGACAAATATTAAATGAATTTGGTTCCATATTCCAAAACGTGAAGGTCTGCTCATTACAATATTGGTCCATCCAGATGCTTGGTTTAGCAACCTACCGAGGGGGTTCTGTGTATTTAGCTATTGTTTTGAGCTCTTTCCTGGATCATATGATAATACCTCTACTTCTGAGAAATACAAAAGATGCAAGTTCTCCACAGACCAGGACTAAATCACTGTACATAAAATATTTAATAGAAAAGTAAAAAAAAAAAAAAAAAAAAAAAAAAAGCAGAAAGAGAAAAGGCTGTATGTGTATACTCTGTCTCCAGATCCTTCTAGGGGATGTAGGTTTTGGGGAGGAGAAATACACTGAACAACAGACGTTTGAAGATGACTTTAAAGAGTGATCTGTGAATTTGACTACCCGCGGGCTTAACATATGGCAGAAAGAAGAAAGGAATGCGGGGAGCTCAAGGGACCCTGAAGGTAAACGAGAGTCGGGAATTTGTTGTGTCTCTTTCATCCACAGGCATTTCGGAGCTTGACACTTGCGGTAACAAAAATGCACTGCCAAAGTACCAGTGTGTTATTACCTCCTCTTCAAGATATGGACACATAGAAAGGCAATGGCCTCTTACTGTACCAACAATTTTAAGCAGCACCGTCAACCGCCACCGAACCACGGGGAAAGCTGGTCTTCTTCCACGACCTTTCATGAAAATGGAGAAAATCTTTGGTTTCAAAATCTTCTCGTGGCTTGAATGGAAAGTGAAAAAGGGACCCTTTAGCTCGCACAATGCACCTGACCTTACCTACTGTGAATGAATAATGCACACCGAAGAGGAGCGGCGGAATGGAGATCTCAGCGGGTTACCGAGCCCCGGGAAGGAATGGTGCGGTGTACACGCCACAGCAGCGCCTGGGTTCTGTCTGGAAAGCCTGGGTGTGCGGTTGGCTGGGGGTGGGGTGTTTGCACTGCGAGGCTGTCTCCCGGGAGGGCTGTTTCGAAGCAAGGGTTGTTTGGCTCGCTTCAGGGCGCTCCCCCGAGAGCTGCCGCGCGCAGGGGCTGCAGGCTTCCAGAGGCAGAGGGGTTCCCGGCCCCGGCAGGCGCATGTACGTGCGTGCCCGACAGGGAGGTGCAGGGTGCGTGCACGGAACTGGCCGAACGCACGCCGGTGCCATGGGAGCCGCTGCAGAGAAGGCCAGCGCCGCTGGACAAAAATACAGCGTAAAGCCCCGGCCCGGGAACCGCGGAGCCCTGGCCAGAACACAACAGATGCACAGACTTGATTTGGAACCCCTTTAGCCAGTGCGCTAAAGCGGAGTCACAGTACCCAGAAGAGGGGAGGGTAGGAGGCGATGAGGAAGGACACCGCGCAGCCCCCGCCCCCCCCGCACAGAGGAGCGCTAGCGCCCAGAACCGGCGGCGCTTCCGAGGCAGGCGAAAACCCCCACTCGCACCCGGCGCGCTCCCCCGCAGTCTGGGTAACCTCTGCGCGGGTGGGTATTAAGGGGTAAGGAGGAGGCGTGGCCTGGCCTAGTCGAACCAATGGGGACGAGAGGGGCGCGCGGGGGCGGAACTTGAGCACAGAGCACTGACTGGCCAGCCCGCCCTCCGGTATGTAGATACGGCGGGAGTCACGTGCCACGGGCCGGGACGACTTCCTGTTGGAGCCCGACGCGGGGCGGGGACCTGGGCGCGAGCGCCCCGTCTGGCTGGAGCGGGGGGAGGGGGGTTCTTGTCAGTTAGAGCAACAAGATGGCCGCGGTGGCAGCTCCGCAGCTCAGCGCGACGGCCCTGGGAGTCGCAGTCGCTGCCGCCGGCCGTGCCACCTTGCAGCCCTGAGCACCGCCGGGCCGCCCTCGGCGCGCCGTGACAGGCTGTCCCCTCGCCGCGCTCCA